GATTTTTAAAATTTATCTTTACTGTTGAAAGTATTACAGATGTCCTTCCTTTTTTCCTCCATTGACATCCCTCCCCACCCTTCCCCCTTCACTGCACTGTTGTCTGTGTCCATTGGTTATGCATATATGCATATAAGTTCTTTGGTTTATCTCTTCCCACTCCCCCACCCCCTTCCTTTGGTGGTTTGTCAGTCTGTTTCCTACTTCCATATTTCTGGATCTATTTTGATCGACAGTTTATTTTGTTCATTATATTCCATAAATAAGTGAGATCATGTGGTACTTGCCTTTCTCTGTCTGGCTTATTTTGCTTAGCATAATACTCTCCAGGTCCCTCCATGTTGTCTCAAAGGGTAAGAGATCTTTTTTCTTATAGCTGCATAGTATTCCATTGTGTAAATGTACTATGGCTTTTTATCCACTCATCTACTGATGGACACTTGGGCTGTTTCCAGATCTTAGCTATTGTAAATAGTACTGCTATGAACATAGGGGTGCATATATTCTTTCTGATTGGTGTTTCAGGATTCTTAGGATGTATTCCTAGAAGTGGGATCACTAAGAAACACCATACTGTTTTCCATAGTGGCTGCACCAGTCTGCATTCTCACCAGCAGTGTACTAGAGTACTCCTTTTCTCCACATCCTTGCCCTCTCTTGTTTGATGATTTGTTGATGGCAGCCATTCTGGTAGGTGTGAGGTGATACCTCATAGTCATTTTAATTTGCATCTCTCTGATGATTAGTGACGTTGAGCATTTTTTCATCTGTCTCTTGGCCATTTGTATGTTCTCTTTGGCGAAGTGTCTGTTCAGGTCCTCTGCCCATTTTTAAAATTGGATTGTTTGTCTTCCTTTGGTTGACTTATATGAGTACTTTGTGTATTGTGGATATTAACCCCTTATCTGATGTATCATTGGCAAATATGTTCTCCCATAAAGTGGGTTCCCTTCCCATTTTGATGTTGGTAATATCTTGACTTTCAAGTTGCATAGAAGACTTGGTATTCCTGAACTAACGGATGGATTTTCAGCTAGAGAATTCGGAAACAAAATTGTGATATAGTTTTGAAGTAGGAGGGGTGTGTGTGCAGAGAGGTAGATTGTGTTTCTGGCCCAAGATTTAATATATAAAAATATAAATTGTGAGTCCTTAAAAACAGTAGTGTTTTTATATTATAGCTAAAATAATGCTGGTATCTTAAAAAGGAAAAAAAAAAAAAGATCCATGCAGGTCAAAATTCAAAGTTACAATCCTAAAATGTCTTTTTTGGTTAATTTAACTAAATGAAAGCAACTTTTAAAAGTTATTTCCTTAAACTTTGAAATGTAATATATTTTGGCCAGGTGACTTGAAATGGGAAACAGATAAAGATGACTTACTGGTTAGTGAAACACCAGTCTTAAACAGACAGCTTACTTTTTTCCCTTTCTTCATTTCCCCTGCACCAGCTGTTAATGTTTAACCTTCATTTACTACTTCAAGAGTCATATTTACACTTTTCCAGCAACACTTTATCCATATGTTCCTTGGCCTTATACATTATATAAGGCTCTTTTAGGGCAACTTCCTAATCTTCTCATTAAGAAAATGTCACACTCACCCCAAATAACCCTATAGAAGATGTCAGATGATATCACCACTAAAATAACCCCATAGAAGATGTCATCTGATATCATTTATAGGCTTCCTTTCATTTTGCCAGTAATAGTCTTTGCCAGGTTGTTCTTCCCATTTAAGCAGCTAGATGTTTCCTTTTCCTTATTGATAGAAAAAAAAAAATCTTCTAAAAATACTTTACAATTCACTTGATATCAGATAATAAATTCAGCCTCCTTATGGGGATCATCTAAAACAAGTGATCATTATTTGGTTTATAAATTTCATGCTGGAATATCACTGTTTTAAGACCATGTGGGGGATTTGACCAGAAAGCACAGAAAGGACTTTACCTCTTGTTCGATTACTTGCTTATTCCTAGTTATTCTTTATGTTCCAGAGATTGAACGAATTGACAAGTAAGGCTTAGGAAGTGTTTTTATGAACAAATCAATCTCATTATATTGACTACTTAAGGGAGTTATATATATTAGGGGAAAAGGTCAATGAATTTTCAAATTGTTTTGTCTAGGTTTGGTTATTGGTAGTTAGTGGTTAATTCAGTGAAGTTGGAGTTAAGATTTTTTGTATTTACCCCTGGCTGGTGTGGTTCAGTGGTTAGAGTGTCAGCCCGTGGACCAAAGAGTCTTGGATTTGATCTTTGGTCCAGGTGTGTGCAGGAGGCAATCTATCAATGTGTGTCTCTCACACTGATATTTATCTTTCTCTCTCGCTCCCCCCCACCCCCTCTCTCAAAATCAATGGAAAAATATCCTCAGGTAAAGATTAACAACAACAAAAACATTCTTGTATTTAAAACTTATAATGTACATCAGTATCTAGTTGACCTGTAGCCATTCAGTATCACCTGGTTGAAGGTTTTCATCTGTAAATAGGTACAATCATATTTATCTCTTCTGAAGAATATTTAACATTTTGGTTTAAGAGATGCCAGATAAGTTGTATCATAAAATAAATTTAATATGTTACAACCAATTATTAGATCACTCTCTTTTTAATTTTTTATCCTCACCCGAGGCCATTTTTGCATTTATCTTCAGATAGAGCGGGAGGGAGAGAGGGAGGAAAAGAGAGAGAGTGAAACATTGATGCGAGAGGGACACATTGAGTGGTTGCCACCTACAGGGCCCGCAGAGGACAAACTGCAACCAAGATATGTGCCCTTAATGGTCCATGGGCTGACGCTCTAACTGATGAGCCAAACCAGCCAGGGCTCACTTGTCTCTTTAAATTGCTTAGTGATTTGCAAATAATGTGTGATCTGAGTGAACGTCTTATTCCTCTCTGATTTATTCTTGACTTGGCTCAAGAAGATACTAACTTTTACCAGAATCTACCATTCCTTCCAAAGTAGGCCCAAATGGCCAAAAAAAAAAAGTTGAATTAAAACTTAATTTTGTCACCCTGGCCCAGTAGTTCAGTTGATTAAAGCATCATCCTGATATGCCAGGGTTGGAGGTTTGATTCCTGGTCAGGGCCCATTCAAGAATCAACCAATGAATGCATAAATAAGTGGAACAACAAATCAATGTTTCTTTTTCTCTCTCAGTCTCTCTCTCTCACTTCCCTCCCTCCCTAAAGTCAATAAATTAAAAACAAATCACCAATATTTTTTCAAAAATAATTTCCTCTTTGCACAGAATTAGGTTGTCTCATTTAGACAGTTCTATGTAGTCATATGGTGCTGATTCTCCATCTCACACTCCTTTATTTTTAAGTCTATAGAGTCATCTCTATGCATGTCCATTTCTCGGATCAGTGTGAATGAAATTCTGCCTGAAAATCTATTTTTCTAAAGCAAAAGTTATAGTGATTTTCTATATACCCTTTGTGACTAATAGAATTCTCTTACCAAATTACACACATCTTCCTCTCCAGACTATAAATCAATATGCCAACTTTGACAGTTGTAAGATGTTGACAGCTCCTGTTAAATTAAATTACAATTTTCACATTTAGACTTGTTACTCCCAATTCTGATATCCTTATTGCCTGTATCATTAACTTTGGTGCCTAGTCACTGACGTGCATTTTAACATTTTTCTTACACTTTGTTCTTTTTTAAAATATATTTTTATTGATTTTTAGAGAGAGAGAGAAACATCGAACATCAATTAGCTGCCTCCTGGGGATCCAGCCCGCAACCTGGGCATGTGCCCTGACTGAGAGTCGAACCAGCAACCTCTTGGTGCATGGGCCAATGCCCAATCACAGAGCCACACTGGCCAGGCTGCTTCGTTCTTCTTGAGAATGTAATATTCATGAGGGCAGATTCTATGTATTGTAAGATATTTTAATGACACACAGTTCCTGAGTATAGTTTTGGCATGTGGTATGCACTCAAGGAAGAATTCTTCAAATAAACATGAGATGTTTTTGTTGAGTGTTGTGCAAAGTGCTTTTCTAGAATTATGAAAAATTAAAAATATTGTCTTTGCCCCTGTGATATATACAATCATACTAACGTCCACATAATTTTTTAGAGCCACATTCTCTGTGTGTAACTCTGAAATCTAAAAATCCCAAAAAACTTATTTTGTTATTTTTTTAATAATGTTTTTGGTGGGAAAATCTAACCAAATATTAGCCCTGGTTGCATAACTCTGTTGGTTAGAGTGTCATCTGGATACGCTAAGGTTGTGGGTTTGATCCCCAATCAGGGCATGTGTAAGAATCAACCAATGAATCCATAAATAAGTGGAACAACAAATAGATGTTTCTCTTTCTCTTTCTCCTCCTTCCACTCTCTCTCTCTCTCTCTGAAACCAATAAATTAGAAAAAAAAACTAACCAAAGATTAACTCATTTGACCAGGGAAAAAACCCTGACTTGAACTGATGTGAAGCTGTTTATAGTTTTCATTTATTCCACTTAAGAAGAATATTCATGCCCTGGCCGGTTTGGCTCAGCAGTTAGAGCGTCGGCCTGCGGTCCTGAGAGACCCGGGTTCGGTTCCCGCTAAGGGCGCGTACCTCGGCTGCAGTTTGTCCCCGGCCCTGGTCGGTTGTGCGGGTGGCAGCCACTCGATGTGTTCCTTTCACATCGATGTTTCTCTCTCTCTCTGTTCCTCTCTCTCCCTCCCACTCTACCTGAACAAAAAATGGAAAAATGTCCTCGGGTGAGGATAAAAAAAAAAAAAAAAAAAAAAGAAGAATATTCATGTTTCACTTAAATATTAATGCTTTAAATTATGGTGGTGGTATATTTTATTTTATTATTTTGTTTTGTTTTATTTTATTATTTTATTTTTATTTTTATTTTTGGAGAGACTGTTTCTTTATTTTGAAACAATAGGTGGCCTCCTAGTGGTAGGAACGTGCTTCCGCCTGTAGGAGGCCCAGTGTTCACCCCACGGCCGAGCTCACAGTTTAGGCTATGCTTCAGGAATGCTTCATAGTTGATGCAGCCGTTGCTGTCTTTATGTCCTGCCAGACTGTCTCTACTTCCTCTTCAGTCATCTTCTCTCCCAGGGTGGTGAGGACATGTCTGAGCTCTGCTCCCATGACTTTGCCATTCCCTTCTTTGTCAAACACCCGAAGCCCCTCCAGGTAGTCCTCATATGTGCCTTGGTCTCGGTTCTTGGACACTGCCTTGAGCATGGGCAGGAAAGTTTCAAAGTCCGCACGCTGGGACTTCAGCTCATCACAGTTGGGGTTCTCCAGAACCTTGAGCACCTCAGCATTGGTGGGGTTCTGGCCCAGGGCCCTCATCACATCTCCACACTGGCTGTACAGGATCTTGCCATCCCCTACTTGGTCAAAGAGCTCAAAGACCTCCTTGAACTCCTCCAGCTGATCCTTGTTAAACTGGATCACCACTTTGGAGAGATTGATGGGGGGCTCCCAAGTTTTCTCAGGGGCTGAAGGAACAGCTGCTGCTGGCTCAGCCTTGGTCTTGGCTGGAGGTGCCCCTGCTGCTGGCTTGGTAGCAGGCTTGGAGATAGAGGGCCCTGCTGGTTTCTTCACAGGAACATCCTTCTTGGGAGGCATGATGTCCGGTGGCCAAAGGACAGTGTCCGTGGTGGTGGTATATTTTACATGCTATATACGTTATATTATCTTTTGAAATCTGAAAAATTCTAACTTCCAAAATAATCTGACCTCAAGACTTTTCAGGATTGTGGATCTGTATAACATACAAAAAGTTAAATTATAAAATATTTAAATAACAACTAATATAATAATATTAGAATCTCAAATCATTACTTGGAAAATTGCCTAAAGGGTCATGGTGTCTCTGCTGAGTGTTCCTGAAAATGGGCAGGTCCTCAGTCTTGGATCCTAGGGGCCAGAGGCAGATGATTTGGGAGTATTTTCCTGACATGTCCAGGCATAATAAGAGCCAGAGGGTCTGTACAAACCAAGTCCTTTAGAGGATCAAAACCAGGGAAACCAAGTTTAATTATCAAGGGGTAAGAGATGGCCTGAAAAAGAAAGCCATAGAGACACTGGAATAGGAGGAGGAATTAAGGGTAAGGTGAGAGTCCTGGACAGTTGTCACAACCAAGGGTGATAGATCTGTAACCCTATGCTGCATAAGTGGATGGCTTTCATGTGTAGAGTTGGAATGGGCTGATGCAGACAACTGTTGCTTGGATCTGAAAGGGGCCTTTAAAGATCATTTATTTACCCCTGCATACCCCCCGCCCCCCATTTTACAAACAAGTAATCTGAAATGAAACTCATTTTCAAACATCTATTTAGTGTTTGAGACACACACAAATCCAAGTTTCACACTGCCTATCTGGTGCTCTTTCTACTACCATAGGGAGATAGTATTTCAGTCCAGAGTGGTCATGAATGACTTTTCAGAAGATATGAGACTTGAATTGGATTATAGTAGTTGATCAAAACTTAATTCCCCATGAATCTTTGAAAGTATTTTTGCATTGTGAACTACCTTAATGCAAAGACTATCTTCATTTCTTAATCTTAATTTTAAAAAAATGTCTAGATTACCTAGGAATTATTTTACACATAGTATAAAATGAAAAAATAAAGGTTTAAGTGGAGGCAGACCAAAAATAAATGTGTTATAATGGAAAGGCTACCACTGGGAATCATAAGACCTGAGTTCTAGTCTAGCTCTGCACAGATTATCTGGATAGCATTGTGCAAATTACTGAACCTCTGAGACCCAATTTCCATCTTTAAAAGGGTAGGATTAAGTGATCTTAAACTCTCCTATAATTTGGGTCTGTGTCTGTATTTGCTAGGACAAAATAATTGCCATTAACACTTAACTGGATTTAATTATTTAAGTATTACAAGGGCATAGGTCAGATGGACTTAGCTTTTCTAGGGACTCTCTTTCTGTAGAGAGAGATTTCTGAATACACTTGGGCTGATTCAGATATTTTGGTAAAATTAAAGTACAAAATAAATTAATATCAACAATAATCATTTAACATTTACTAAATGTATGCAAAGTATTGAATAAGATGTGTTCTCTGACTTCAAGTTGTTTAGGATTTAGTAAAAGTTTACTTTAAAAAGTTAAACAAGTAAGTAAGTAAACATAATAATCTTTATGGAGCTCAGATACGTTTAGCTGGGATGAATCAGCCTCTAAAAGTGTGGTACGACTGGCTGTCCAACCTTTTGTTTGGACTGCTTAAAATTACTTAGCATTTCATAATGTAAATATTTTTGATGCAGTACACTCCTTGATTACTATGAAAATATTTGTCATCTTTGAAGAAAACATCTAACCCTTAAAAATCAACTCAGAGTATTATGTTTCTAATTGAATACCATCAGAGATAATATAACTATATCTCCAAATCCCCACTTCTGAGTCCCAAGCATGTCAGAGAACTATCATATTCATTTCAATTTATGTTGTATTAACTAATGGTAAAAATATTTGGTTGGAACTACTTAGCACTGTGATTGACTGGTGAACATTTTAATAAAGGAGAGCTAAATAAAGATAACAGTTTTCAAAAGAAGGACATTGCATAGCTTGACTACCTGTTCTATAAGACATTAAGTCTTGTCAGCTAACTTAGATTAGAACATTTGAAGTTATAAATTTGTGACCATCTTTGTAGAATGAATCATGTTGTGAAAATTTCTTGTAGGTATTTTCCTAAACAAATGTTTTTTTGTTCAAACTTTAGACTGGGATTCACAGCGTGAAATAAATTTTACACATATACATGTATAGGTAACAAAACTTGCATCAAACAATACCTACCTTACTATTTTTTACTCTATTTTATTCTTTTGAAAGAGTTGGTCAGAAACCCACTAAATTGATTAATAATTCTCTAAAAGATCATAACCTGCAGTTGGAAAAGCTTGAGCTGCATGAAACTGTTGAAAGAGATTAGAAGAAAGTCATAAGTAATTAGAAGATGAAGATAAAACATGTATGAGAAGAGGCAAAAGTCACCATATACTTGAATAAACCTACAATAACAATGTGTTGGTTCTCTACGATATGATAGAATCAAATACTGACTTGTGTTTTCCTCAGATGCCACTATTTTAAATTCAGTATTTGCTCCACAACTAATTTTATCTTGAAACTATTACCTCGCAACCATAGAGTGACTTTCTTATAACTGTGTGTGGGTAGGCATGCGGGCCCGTGTGTGTGTGTGTGTGTGTGTGTGGTGTGTGTGAAGCCTAACTTTGATTGTGGGTCATTTTTCTAAAAATTAAGATCTACATCTTATAAGTTTTAACTTATTCTTTATTACCAGTCTTTGAACAGTGCTCTGAGCTGAATCCTATTTGAGTATAAATCACTACTTTCTTTTTTGTCTTCTAATAGTACATAGCTTTTTACCTGTAGTAATGTTTACTTAATTTTTTCCTAAGTGTGGTCATTAATGATTTAAACTTTTCTATTTATACTCATTAATAGTTTTTGAGGGGGATTTTGACAAATATTTTGGTACCTCAAAATAGTTGGTTCAACTAAAATAAAATTCAATTTTAACAAAAATTATTGGAACAGAAATATCTGAATGACAACTTGATAATTTCAAGCTGTTAACTTTTGTCTATGTAGCAATAATTTGTATAATATGGTGTCTGTTTAGCAAAAGAATTAGGTTACTTCAATAAAATTTTCTGGAATTTTATTAATCCAAATATATAAAATATACATAATTTATTATCAGATTTAACAGGATTAAATTACAGCAATAAATCAGGTAATTTTCACAACTGTAATTTAGCATTAAATGGTATATTATTTTAAAAATTGATGTTTTCTTCTCAGCCAGATCCTAAGTTCTTAAATGGAATCGATCCTTCCTCCCTTTCTTTTGGTTTCCAATTTTTCCTTTTTTCTTTCTGTATTGAATTATTGGGGTGACACTAGTTAACAAAATTATACAGTTGTTGTTGTTTTTTTTTTATCCTCACCCAAGGACATTTTTCCAGTTTTTGTTCAGATAGAGTGGGAGGGAGAGAGAGGAGGAGAGAGAGAGAAAGAGAGAAACATTGATGTGAAAGGGACACATCGAGTGGCTGCCTCCCGCACCACCCCAATCAGGGCTGGGGACAAACTGCAACTGAGGTTTGTGCCCTTAGTGGGAACTGAACCCAAGTCTCTCTGGACCGCGAACCGACGCTCTCACCTCTGAGCCAAACCGGCCAGGGCTTATGGAGATTTTTATAAAAATTTGATTTTTTAGAGAGAGAGAGGAAGGAAGAGAGAGAGAAAACATTGATGTGATTGAAAAACATAGATTGCTTGCTGGCCACCCCCACCCACATGCCCCAACAAGGGGTCGAACTCACCACCGTTCAGTGTTGAGGACGACGCTCCAACCAACTGAGGCATACTAGCCAGGAAAAAATTATACAGATTTCAGGTGCACAATTCCACTACACATCATTTCTTTACCACCCTCAGTCAAGTCTCCATGCATCACCATTTATCCCCCCTTATACCCTCCTCCACCTCACCCCACCCCACCTCTCCCTGGCAGTCACCACACTGTTGTCCATGTCCACAAGTTTTTTCTCTTTTTTGCTCAATCCCTCAACCACCTACCCAGCCCTTACCACCATCCCTGCCCCAGATAGCTGTGAGCCTGCTATCTATGAGTCTGTCCCTGTTTTGCTTGTTAGTTCATTTTGTTCATTAGATTCCACATATGAATAAAATCATATGGTACTTGTCTTTCTCTAACTGGCTTATTTCACTTAGCATAATGATCTCCAGATCCACCCATGCTGTTGCAAGGGTAAGATTTCCTTCTTTTTTTTTTACATGGAGTAGTATGCCATTGTGTAAATGTAGCACAACTTTTTTTGGGGGCCCAGCCTTATTTATTTTTTATTGTTGACAGTATTACAGATGTCCCCCCTCTTTAATCCCTTCCACTCAGCCCCAGGCCCACACTATTGTCTGTCTATGGGCTATGCATACATGCATATATGTTCTTTGGCTAATAGCTTCCAGCCCCCCCCCCTCCCCCCAGTCAGTCTATCTCTGACTGGCTGATTTCACTTAGCATAATAATCTTAATCTCCAGGTCCATCCATGGTGTTGCAAAGGGTAATAGAGCCTTCTTTTTAACAGTAGCATAGTATTTCCTTGTGTAAATATACCACAGCATTTTTGTTTTTTCAATCCTCATCCAAGGATATTTTTTGCATTGATTTTCAGATAGAGTGGGAGGGAGAGAGAGAGAGACATTGATGTGAGAGAGATACATCAATTGGTTGTCTCCTGCACAACCCTGACTAGGGCCGGGGATCAAACAGCAACTGAGGTAGGTGCCCTTGACCAAAATTGAATCCAAAATTCTTTGGTCCATGGGTCAACACTCTAACTACTGAACCAAACTGACCAGGGCTGTATGACAGCTTTTTTTATCCACTCATCCTATTATGAATAGGACTGTTTTCTATGTTTCCCTTCTGATAGTTCATTATTGCTGTATAAAAATTCAACTGGCCCTGGCCGGTTTGGCTTAGCGGTTAGAGCATCGGCCTGTGGTCCAGAGAGACCTGGGTTCAGTTCCTGCTCAGGGCGCGTA